GGTTTTCATAAGCTGTACGCCATAATCATCACAATTATACCAAAGTAAGGCTTGACATGTAATTACATCGCTTTGCATGTAATCCGTCTATCTCATATATTGGTTTCACCTTTTGAGTTGCCTTACTGACATAAATGAACATTTGCACGATATTCTAATTTTTCGAGTTTCACCTGTATTAGCGTATTGATGGGTAAGTGGTCATTAAATGCTGTTGGAGTAAGTCAAAGACTGGCAAGATACTTTAACCTTCATTCCCATATTTCAGTCTTAAAAGTGGTCTAACTATATGAAACCTTCCAAAAAGAGGTGATGGCCTCACAATGTGCCTGTTCATTACATATTTTTGCTTCTAATAAGCTGCGGAATTGTTAACATTAGTATTTCAATTGCACAGAGATTGCACAATATTGGATTACAGTTTATTTAGCACATGAAGGCTTCATAGCAATGTGAGCTGCTGTGCGTATTTCAGTCTGTAAGTGAATCCTTGTTGTGTACCAAACATTATTTTTGAAGCATTTTATTTGACTACAGATTATTCAATTCATTTGTAGTAAAAATGTAGTAAGGTATTAAATCAGTTTAATGATAGAGTAAAAGCACATTTTAAAAGATGCTTTCTTTTAATGCATAAATAAGAGTTGGATTTTATTGTTATGAGAGGGTAATTGTGATAGAATCAGATACTGACAGGCAATCTTGCCTAACATAAAATAGATACATGACATAATTAATCACGTTGGATCTGGACTTTATACTTAGTATATATATTGGAATAACTGGAACTAGTCATTACTCTTTTTCTAGAAAAATCTTACATGCTTCAGAATTATGCTTTCAACATTTTGGATTCATAAATTATGAGAATTAGTTATACCTTTGAAAGAATTCTGAAAATCGTGAATGAAGAACACATTCTTGTATTTATATAGGCTAGTTAACTGTTGTGGTGGTGATATTAAAAAGTTATATTTTCTCTCTTTTTTCTTCTGTTCACAAGTAAATTAATGACTCTCGTGGTCTCCCAGTTTGCATCCAGCTATGTTTTCTATTGGAAGAAGTATTTTAAGGAGCAGCCCCTTTTGTATCCACCAGGATTCGACGGACGTGTTGTGTTGTTTCCTAGTGACCAGAATCTAAAAGATTATCTCAGTTGGCGACAAGCTGATTGTAAGTATCACAGGAGTGAGGTAGAGGGGGAGGTTGTAGGGTGGTGATTTTTAAGAATAGATATTTAATCTAATTTTCTACTAAAAAAAACCCCAAAGATTAAAAGTACCTGACTTTATTGATTTGAGCTGTCATCATGACTGTAGAAATGAAAAGTAGAGAGGGGTCTCTTCCTTACAGTATTCAAGTATTTTTTTCCAAACTTACTTATTCTTACTTAGAAATAAGTAAAGAGAGTGGGAATGTGGAATATTCCACACTGAATAGGCAATCCCTTTCTGCATAGCTCAAATTCTCTGTAACAAAAATATAGCTGCATCATAATCAATTACTCCATAAAATAAGATTCAGATGCTGCCTTATTCAAGCCAACGAGTGCAAAGGTATTAATATTGCTAGACATTCAAGATCGTCAGTGATGTCTTCAGTTTCCCTCCACTGCATCTAGCAATTGATGAGATGCCTTTTCCTCAAATTTCTAGTTACTGGATCCTTACTAGATGGATTGCCCAATTTATAAATTGAAGAAAGTAAACAACAACAACAACAAACCTCTACACAACATAGGAATTTATCTATTACAAAAATACATTGTAGGAAATGCTGATGTTATTATATTAACTTACATAATAACAGTAACAATAATTGTAGTAATAATTATAACACCGCTTCTAAAACTAATCTTATAGTAAATATTGTTGTCAAGATAAAATTTAATACACTTCCCATTTTCCTCTAATGCTTATTATTTCACTTGGTATTTCTGTAGGTCACATCAATAACCTCTACAATACGGTATATTGGACTCTGGTGCAGAAAAGTGGCCTCACACCTGAAGATGCCCAAAAGCGACTTCAGGTTTGAAACATTATTCCAAACATCTCAGCCTAAAGAGCACATTGTCTCTGGCTTGTGTTATTTCCAGCAGCATATATAACAAAGTATTTTTTACACTGGGACATACATGTATTTGTGCATTTGTGTTGTATTCCAAGCTTTATTTTACATTTGCTGTTTCTGCTGGAACACTTGGGTACATGGGTTGGATTTGTTTTTTGGTAGGAAGGTTAAGCCTACAGAGAATTGGCTATTATTTAGAAAAGATGAAAGTATAGCAACTGATCAATTTCAGATGCAACAGGAAGAAAAAAAGAAAAAGGATAAAAGACGAATAAGTCCCCCCTTCTACTCTAGCTAATGCTAGTTGGCAGGACTTAAAAAGTAGTAATTTTTTTGCCAGGGAATCATCTGCCTTAGGATTTCTTTCCTAAAATTATTATGAACTTTGAGTTCAGTTAATAATTAGAGTTGCAGGAGAACTATGATGATACAAACAATGCTGTTTGTAAGCTGTGATTGGATTTGTTTTCTTTTGGCTTTTTAAAGACCTTTAATCATATTAGGAGAAATGTAATATGTGACAGCACTAATTAAATTTTCATTTCTCAGCTTTATCTCCTAGCATTCAGGAAGCTTTTGGAAACTGATTAATTTTAGTTTTCTAAGGTTCATTTCCCATGTGTAGATGTTAGTGGGATGTAGCCCAGACTGAACACTTGGATGGGATCAAGCATCCATGTGCTCTAGATAATCTTGGTAAGGAAATCAAAAATAGTATTTTTCAAGACCTTTTCTTTGCCGTCGTCCTCATGTTGTACTTCTGTGCATAGGCATATTCATGGACATGGACAATCCTTTATTGCCTCCCCTATATCAGGTTTGGATCTGATAATTTGATCTTGTGTGAGTGAACTATGTGGGTGCTTCAACAGCGTAGCAGCCCCAAAATTCCCAGTCTATCTTCCAACCATAGAGCTAGGGAAGGATAGTGATTTCCCTGTGTACTTCTGGAGGTCTTGATTAAGTACTCTGGGCCATGTTATGGTTATCAGAATTACAAGTAAATGAAAATATGGACCTCTGGGTCAGGGCAAGAAAATAATAGATGTCATGGTAGCATAAGCATAAATAGCTATTACTTAAGGGAAGGCAGGGACACATTACTTCTTTCTTTTTTTGGGCCACTTGGCAAATAATATTCTCTCCCAATTTCAGCTCTTAGCTCTAGAAAGTTTATAAGCTAAAAATACACACATACATCCATGAGTTAAGTCCACAGAATAAACAGATGCACTGAAATTGCTGGTTTTTGCAGGGTTTATTATGGATTAAAAATACCCATTTTCCAAATACTAAATCAGCCTTCTCCAATCTGATGCCCTCTTGATGTGTTAGATCTCAGTATTATATGTGTACATGTACGTACAGTATATGTATGCAATCAGGGAATTCTGATAGTTATAGTATCAATGCATTTGGAAGCCACCAAATTGGGAGAAAGCTATATTACATTATTTCACCAACCTTTTGCCTGCTAATACATATTGATGGCAAGTTAGTAACTGGTTGAAGAAAGTGGTTTTAAGCTCTACCACTTAGTAGCTATATGAAACAATCTGTGAACCTCGTGATCAAGAGATGATTTTCTTTTTGGGGAGAGTGTGTGTTTAAAAGTGTGGTGGGTTCCCTTCTGTTCTCGAATACATGCTCAACCCCTAAATGAAGAGCAGTATCCATTTATTACATTTGAAATTACCAATGTATTTTTTCCATATGAAATGTATTTTTTTTCCTTCAGGGAACTCTTGCAAGTGACAAGAACGACATTTTATTTTCAGAATTCAACATTAACTACAACAATGAACCTTTGATATATAGGAAAGGAACTATTTTAGTGTGGCAGAAGGTAAAACATACTTTCATTTGTCTTTAAAATGGCAGCAAGCGTATTTTAAATCAGCAATTAGACAAAATATTTTAAGATAATATAGTGGTTTTTACAAAGTCCATCTGTGCTGAGTTACCAGAGACATCTGTCTCATCAGCTGATCATGCTTTTACACGATGAAATTACTACAGGAATTATTCCTGTCACTAGACAACCAGAGCGACATAGTGGTGATTTCAATTTGAGACTTAGTTAATGCTGGATCTCCACATATTAAATATCCCTGCTCCTGAAGGAGGAAAAGTTTGGGCTTATGAAGTCTCTGTGCAGATTGTCTGTCTATACATGAAATCAAATCATATTTTTATCTCTATTGCTGATTCTTTTCAAAAATTGTTGTAAAGCAGAATATTAAGTTTAATCTACCCAGAATATTAGGCATTACATTTCACTGAATACCATTTTAGTGTTCAGTGAAATAAAGTTGAAAAAAAGAGGCAGGCTTTATCAGTGTAGTAATACTGAATATTTACACTGGAGTAGGCACTGTTATGTGTTCCTATTTTGTGACATTGTACTGATGTTGGGTGTGTTCTCAGTACTATTCCCAAAGGTGATTTATTTATTATTATATCTCCTGTCAACACCAAGTATTCTATTGATAATATGCCACCTTATTTCAGCTTTGAAGAACTCTGGTCCTTTCTTGGCTCACCTTCTTTTGATCATGAGAGAAGTCCATTATTTACTTTCATCTTCCTATGTATTACCAGTATAAAGACCAAACAAAACTGGATTGCTTACAGATGTTTGTACTTGTACCCTTTGTATAAGTCTATATATTTCTTTTAGAGTCAGCTACCATCATTTACATATTTATCTATTTAGCTGTTCACCCAGGCCTTCAGCAAGGGACAGTGAGATCCCTCACTTCATCATGCTTGCCATCTTTTACCTTTATTTTGTATGTTTTATTTATTTAATTGTAATTTCTTTCTTTGATTGTTGTGAGCCACCTAGAGTCATTGAGACTTGGGCAGCATACAAGCATTATTGTTGGTCACATAGTCAGCCATATGTTTAGACTGGGTTTGGCATTTTTGTCCACCTATTGAGTCCTTCCCAAGGACCTGGGATAGGCAGATGTTGTTGTTTGATGGTTTGATGGTGTTAAACGTATCATCACAGGATATAAACTGTTCCACGTAAAGCTGCCTTTCGCAATTGACTGATGGTGATTTTGTCAATGCTGGTGGTCTTCAAGTGGTGCTCTAGATGTTTTGGGATTGCACTCAAGGTGCTTATTACTATTGGTACTATTGTTGTTGTTGTTATTATTATTATTAACAATAGCCTGGTGTATACATAGCACTAGGCAGGATTTAGATCAGTCTTTGAGACATTTTGAAGGCATTCCCATTTCTGCCTATTAGTTACATTGGATGGAAACATTTTTAACTGCAAGAGGATAGGGAGAGTTCTAAGTACCTATGTTCATTCAACTCTTCCTATTTGACATAGCGTACAATATGATTCAGGAAAACGACATCTATAGTTCCAATCACAGGTAGTCCTTGGCTTATGTCCATTCATTCAGCAACTGTTCAAAGTTATGGCAATGCTAAAAAAATAGACATATGATTCATCCCCAAAGTTCTGGCCATCACAGCACCCCCACGGTCACGTGATTGTGATCTGGGCACCTGGCTTGCAATTATGTCGCAGGGGGCCATGGTCACCTGATTGCCATTTGTGACCTTCCCTGCTGGCTTCCCACAAGCAAAGTCAATGGGGAAGCCACCAGGGAAGGTTGCAAGTCACTCCAGTGAGTCGCTCCCACCCATAGTACCACCATCCCGTCTACACATAGCCTCTCGCAGCCCTCCCAGCCCCCCCCCCCCCCGGGCCTTCCAGGCCATCCCTGGCCTCCCTTGACTCAAGTGTGGCCTGTGCTGGGCCTCCCAGGTCCTTCCCTGGCCTCCTCCACACCCCCACGCTCCTTACCTGGGACTCCCACCACTTCCCGCTTAGCAACCTGTGCATCTTAGGGTTACATTGGCAACTGGGACTGCCAGGATTACCATCACTAAGCAATGCAGTCACATGACGTTGTGCTTTACAACCACATTGCTTAGCGACAGCAATCCCGGTCCCAATTGCCATCGTAACCCGAGAACTACCTGTACTATCAGCCCTAGCTTACCTAGCCTCTGATAAAAGATGGTGGGAATGGCAGTTACGGAACATCTTATAGGACAGTGATTCTCCAGCCCTGCATAAGGGAGCCTCCAACATCTGAATACTGTGTTGAAGTTTTTGTCTTGCTGATCTGATTAAATGTACAAGTCAGTAAACTATTCCCCACCCCCCAGCATTATTTAAAAACCCACTGACTGGATTCATATAATACAAGTCAAGATTTTTAATCATGGTTTGTAGAACAAACTATAGCAGCCTGTTTATATATAGTACTAAGCCGTGGTGTAGTTTCTTGCATCCCCCAAGCCAAAAGCAAGCAAACTATTTTATGGCTTCATGAACAGCCAGGAACATTTTTTTGGCCACAACTTTTTTTTTTTTTCCCTATTTTCTGCAACCAGGGGCTATAAGGTGATAACATGACACACAGCATCCTTGGCATTCAAGATGTGATTCTTTTACTTTCCTAGGGATTAACTCTTTAGAACATGCTAAGGTTTTCTGAAGATTTAACACATTTTTATTTCCTTCTGCCCCTATTAAAAATTGTGCCATTGATTTGAAGCCAGATTTGGGCAGTGTGGTCTTGGGGAGGAAGGCGAATCCTTGAAAACAGCAAAACAGGTTCAGGAAGGATGCTACCTATAGGTTGTCCATTCATGGCTTAGCATTCTGCACTGCATGTCAGAAGCACCTTGAAAAAGCCATTCTCTTCTGGCTGAGGTAGAATGAGGTTGCTTTGAAGATGAAGCCTGCCATTTTACAGTGATACTCTAATACATTAAAGTGATACTTCACTTTAATACATCAAACACTGCAACTCTAAAAGAAGTAAATTCTGAATATGCTTTAAGAAGTTCAATTATTAATCTATTATTTGTATTTCTAGGTATATGAAATCATTAGGAAAAAAATTAAAACACCAGGAGAAACAGAAGAGAAGGAAATTGAAGTAACCCGGATGAGAAATACACCAGTTCCTTTGCACTGTGATATTATTGGAGATCAATTTTGGGAACAGTATCCTGAAATCCTGTTTGATGATAGCTGACCTTTTTTATCTGGATTTTACTGTGAACTATTGTGTACAAGGACTGCATCATGGTGGAAAAGGGATAAACATATTCCTGTACTTTGTAATAGCCATTTTTTAAAGATTTTTATTTTATTTCATTTTATTTTAAAAAAAGATTTTATTAGAATGTACCAAAAAAGCCAGGTATTGTTCATAAATAAATACTTTTCTATTAAAATTACAAGAGGGCTGATAATAATCTTAACAAACTTTATACTGGAAAAGGAATGCCTTTAATTTCGTCTCTGGCCCTCAAAAGGACTCTACTGCTGTAGGTCTCATGAGATGCTAAGTTGCCCATTTAAAACTCTGAAAACATTTAAACTACTCCTTCAAATTAAATTCTATCATCAGGGAGCCAAGTTACAAATTATCCTAGTTGCTAATGTCTCTGGATTATATGAGTGATAAACAAAATACCCTGGCAAGTAGCAGAAAGTAATTAGGAAGTTTTCTCTCAAGTGTAAATTAGTTCCGGCCTTTTTGAAAGCTATGGAAACATAATTTCCCTCTGTAATCGAACGTTTATTATTTGGACTCTCTCCTTGCTGCTTTTCGGATTATTAGACAAGGTCTCAGGTGGCCAGCCGAGAGCAATAATGTTATTGTATGAGGGGGATAGCGCGGCAGGCTGTGTTTGTAGGTCATGCTCTCATTTTGCTGCTGCCTGGGAAACTATCCAGTTCCTGCTGTTGAGAATTGTGGCAACCAACTTACTGGAAGTCTTGTACTGGGATGTGAAGTTCAGAGAGTTGTCTTGCTCTTCTGCCTTTTTAAAGGCCAAACTGCCCAAGAACAAAAAGGATGAAGCCATTTGGAGCAAATGCATGATCTGTGTAAAGATGGCCCAAGACAGGCTTCTGGTGGCTAATGACAGGAAGGTTTTTATAGAGAACTTTCTAAGGGGTCATCTTAGTTCTTTGCCTTTCTCTGTTAATTTGCTTTAAGAGGAGTTCGTTTGGAATGATAGGCACTGAGCATCATTTTTAAAGGCATTTGAAAAAAGCTGTACTCATATTTTCTGAAATGGCAAGGGCCTTCATGACTACAGTTAAGATGACATTAAAAAGGTAAAAAGAAACTTTGAAGCAATGTGCGTTCAAAGAATAGTATGTCTCAGCAATCCACAATACTTTGTGAAGTTAGCAGGAATAATAGCTGAGGTATAAAGCAGCTATGTGCAAGGTGGATTTTTATTGTTTGTATTCCTCCTTTCCATAAGGTGCTCCAGGTTATTAGCAGCAACAATAAAAAAGTAGTAAGAACAATAACCAGTTAAACTAGTGAGATTCTTCTTGCTAATCTTGCTTCAATTATTTGGCAGGACAGAAAGAAGGGACTCTCCTGAACATCTTAATATCTGGGCAGGCTTGTACATAAACTACATATTGGAGGTTTTAATTACATCTTGAAAACAGACTGAGAATTGAATGGAGGTATTGTAATATGACAAGTCATGTGCACCCTGTAACAAGCATAGGTCGTTCTCCAAAATCATAGTCTGAAATAGGTTAAGTCTCCAAACTGTTCAGAAACAGGGAGTGCATTATTTATTTATTTATTATTAAATTTGTATGCTGCCCATCTCCCCCAACGGGTGACTGGGTGGCCCACAATTAAAATAAAAAACCCATAAACAATTAAAAATACCCCATAAATAATTAAAATTAATTAATACATTAAAAATCAACTGTAAAAACAAACCCTATACTTTATAGATGTCCAAACCTGCAAACTGTTACTGTGATCACTTTTTTTCCGTTCCAGGATTGGGTGAAGATTGTATAAGCTTCATCTATGAAAAAGTGCTCATTGTTACAAATATGAGGCATGCACAGGACCTCATTTTCTTGTCAGAAAGATGAAAGGAGCCTTGCATTGTAAATTTTGCCCTTTCCCGTGAGCCCTGAAGACCTAACTCTTCGCCCAGGTCTTTGGCAAGAACGATTGAAGGCCCCCTTTCTTCTTTTTCTTTATTCCCATCTGGGTTTGTTTTCTCTGCCACCTTTGCTTTTTTGTTTTGTGTAATTTTCTTCTTTTAATTTTTTTACAATTTGTAAACTGCCAAAGTTGCCAGGAGTCAGGTGGCATATAAATTTAATAAATAAAAAACATAACACTGTGTTTGTCACTTGACATGCCCTGGGAAATGACTCTGTAAGTATACAGGTTCACAGTTGACTCCACAGGCATATCCTGGCTGAGAACTTGAGTCTTAATGGGGATTCAGCCTACTTAAATTGAACCCCTGTTCCCTGTCCTTTTCTACTGTATGGTCTGATTTCAAACTCAGGACTGATTGTGCTATTCAGCAGCTACTTTAGTCTCTGGCAATGGAAATGGGTAGCAGTAGCTTAGAGTCTTCTGCCCAGGTTCCTTAGCTGTTCTGACCCACTACACAGGAAATAGCAATGCTTACTTGTTGCCTGGCCTGCCTGTCTTGTGTGATTATCTTCTCCCGAAGTATTACAGGCAAGTGGTGACACAGGCACATAGCCACCTCAGGCCATGCACTGTAGTGGCATCATACATAGCCATTACTTGCTCCATTCACATAATGCAATAGACCAAACTGCAGTTAGTTATTTGTGGCTAAGTATATTATGCAAGCCCAGCCAATGTTTATAGTTGTGTGAGTGTGAACCTAAAGTATTGGATTAATCCAGTAAACCATGGCTTACTGTGAACACAGCCCAGAGAATGTTGGTGCAGCCATTCCATTTGTTTGAACAAGTAGACACCAGATGGGGTAGTGAGCTGCATGGGCAGCATCACTGGTGAATGCACGAACTTGAGCCTAGACATCACATTAATAGTAATAACCAATATAATGTTTTCACAGATTTTTAATGTGTATGCCTTCAAATAATATGGCTCAGGCAAGGTTAGATTTTCAAAATTCATGTCTCTGTGACTAGGTTAATGCAATATGCCATGCCACGATTAAAGTCATATTATGGCTTAGCAGCTTGTTTGAATCAAGTCTGTGTGTAGTCAGAGAAAGGTCCCATTATAAATGATCCAGCAGCTGTGTTCTTGTGACATACTGAAGCAAAAACAAGCCAACCATATTTTAGCTTAGTGGCTGTGTGTACCAGTTATTAATTCCACCACCTTTCCACAATACAAAACAGAGATCTCTGGCTGGGTTCACAATTCAGACTTATTTGAATTATGGTTTGTTAAACAAGCCATACTGAAGATCAGAAGATGAAATACGTTTGGCTCACTAATTTGTCTGCTTTTAAGTAATCAACATATAAGACACAAGCAGAAAGTGAAGCACATGACAGACTTCTTATAGACCTAAATACAACAATCCTAATTTCCGATTGCCTACTCATTTGTGTTCATTCCTCAGGTTCACCTTGCAGGTGTGAATAGCCAGTCAAAACAACTATGAGATAGGATGGGGAAGGTGATCCTGTGCACAAGCTATTCCTTGGTACCTACTAATGACGGCTTTTTTTTTTTCCTGTCAGACCAGGCTGAAGCCTTTACTGCATGGACTTGTGGTTGGTCACCTTCTAGAATCTTCACAAAAGATCATCCTTTACATATTTAATCTCACACTCCATCCATGCACAACCACTTACTTACTTGTCAACGGCTGACTGAATCATAACTTTGGGCCCAACCTCTTTGTTGTAAGTTCTAGGAATCAGCACGTCACATCATATTTAGTAAGTCTGGCCTAGTGTCTCCACTATTTTGGTTCCTGCTGAACTACTCAACTAGTCCTTAAGGTGTCTTTGTCACTCTCTTAGCAAATGGCCCACTGTCTAAATATGTTAAAAATAAGCTTTAGTAAATTTTTAGCTCTGTAACTCTATGTGAAAAATAGCTACTGGCCTTTATTAATACATATGTACAAATGATTCATACATGATCAATAGCATATTATATTAGCATAGAATAATTATTTTCTATTCCTACATAGAATTGCCTGTAACAAGTAAATTGGAAAAATGAATGTTGTAATACTTCATATTTGACATGAGTACGTTAATCTACTGCACTTAAAGAGGCCCTTATCCAGCTCAACTACTACTGACTGTATCCATGCAGTTGTTTGATAGCATCACCGAAGCGCTTGACATGTCTGCCATCCACAATTTTTAATTTCCCCCCCCCAACTAGCTACCCTACCTGGACAGCAAAAAGATCCGGAAAACTATTAGATGGCAGCAAAGAACCTTAGAAAATTGCCATCTAGTGGTCATCTGAAGCACTGCAGCCCAGGCATGACCGCTCAAGCCAACAGCCCTGCAATTTCTGGTGGTCTTAGCCAAGCACTAACCAGGCTTGAACCTGCTTCACATCCAAGATCTGCCGAAAGGCGTAGCCTGGGTTATCCTTGACTGTTTCACTGCACCTGATTCTCTGCAAATGTTATCATAACATGGTTTACAGTAGCCCTAATTTGTTTTTACTATGGTTTAGTGAATAAACCCAATGCCTGGGCTCACAAAAGACAAACGCAAACCGGCCACGGCTGAAAGCGATGTTTGAACCTTCCAACAACTTTCACCCTCCCCAGCCCACGCGGCCCGGCGTCAAGCCCTCCGCAGCCTCAGGCGGGAAACGCAAAGAGCGCCGAGAGCTCCGCCAGCCCTTCCTCGGATGAACGAGCGCGCAGAACGGTCCTCCTGCCAGGCGACCTCCAACCCCAAAGGCAGCCCGCCG